CCCCAAAACCCCAAAACCCCAAAACCCCAAAACCCCGTTAGGCCAAGATAATTCAATAATTGAGAAAATCAAAATATTATTTAATCTTTTTGTAATTTAAATTATTCGAGATAGTCAAGTATATATTTAGGACTATGGAATCAATTTCTGATTTGTTATTAATTTAATAATGAGATATATCTCAACCATTGAGAAATCTTAAAAGTTTCTTTAGGTCAAAAATATGTACAAACTGCTGATAGGATTATTAATAATTCTTAATCTTACTTAAGTAATTGAATCTCGTGAACCAAAAAAAGATAAGAGTGAGCTTTATAAGAGGTTCCCGTAATTAGTTTCAAATAAGACAAGTGAATGCGTAAAAGGAATGAATAGGTTTATAACAAATTTCTTAGAGTATCCCAATAACTTAATGACGTTCTATTCCATTCATGCTATTAATGAATATGGGTATCATAAACCGTGCTAAAGAGACTTAGGGGACTACGCTGACTTTGTAGTTATGAATTCAAATATTTCCCATCTGAGTGGATTCTCTAGAATGGGCTTTTGCCTCCCTAAAGAATGCAAATAAAAAGATTATGATTCATATAGTGCAAAAATGGTATCTCTAGTAGATTTTGCATTTGCTCATTTTCCAGACGTTGGAATTGTTATGAACAATTCTCTGTTCTAACCATGGACTAGAGTTGGTCTCTCAATGATCAAATCTGAGGAGTATACAGAAGATTGGCATTAAAGAACTGCAGCTGGTTTTTACCCAACTCTCATCCTTATTATATTGATATTAATTCTGGCTATCAGTGCTTCATTGTATACTTATATAAAGAGAAAGTTATCTAAAAGATAGTAAATCCAAACTTTCATGATGGTAGATACAAGGTAATCTGATATATAGAACTCTAATTAGGACTACTCTTATCTCTAAAACAACATGGATCACTCGTCCTCAAATATTCGAGAATAATAAACTCAGATGAACACATAATTATTACTAAGAGATAGTAGTAATTAATAGGAAACTCGTTAATAACTTGCTTTGAATTTCTCGAACCAAAGGTCTACCATAAGAACTCTAGGCAATGGAGAAAATGATTTAATGAGAACTGCTTTATCTGATTCTCAAGAAAGAGACAGCTAGGCCTAAGTTCAGCAAGATACTCAGCAGAGCCAAGAGTAAAAATAGGGAGAGTCAAAATTAAGTTAGATATTAGAAAAGATCTCTGCTCAATCAGCTTTTGTAGACTTGTAAGCTGGCTACTGTAAAGATTGGGATAACAAAGAACTTGATGTCATTAATGCTATGAAGTTCTTCTAACAATTCTTGATTATTGTAACTTGTACTGCTAGTTATTTGATTCTTGGTGCCGCTCTAAATCCATGGAGTATGCAAGTCTTTTCAAGCAATCCACTATTTGCAATGATAGTTGCAGGAGTAATTGCTTTAGATGTCTATTTTACATTCTCAGCATTTTTCGGATTCTATAGAATGTGCCAAATTTATGATGCTTAGAAAGGATTTACATTTAAAGATGTTATGAAAATATATGGCAAGAGATTAATTAGGCTACTGCCTATATACTATCTTACTCTATTATTTGGAATCTTTATTGGTCCAAGAATTTCTAGTGGCCCTACATGGTACATGTATGAGTAATCTCTGTTTTATAGGTGTAATACTTATTGGTGGACCAATGTTATCCTAATTTCTAACTTTATCCCTTGGGATTAAGATAATAAGGGTGGATGTATGCCCTGGAGTTGGTCTATATGTGTGGACTTTCAGCTCTATATTTTCATTCCATTATATGTCTATGCTTTCAAGTAATCGAGATTAGCCGGCCTGATTATAGGATGGGCTTATGTAGCTGCTGGCATGTTTGTAGTTGGCTTCTTAGCTCATACCAAGAGTTATACAGCAAATGTTTACACACTTGAAAACTATGATATGTATTAGTTACTAACTACAAAGCCTTGGAGTAAATTCCATTTACATGGACTTGGAATCCTCTGTGCAATTTTATATTTCGATATCCTTGCCTTTAGAAAGCTTGATAAATTTGAGCAAAAGAAGCAATATCCGAAAATTTACTTCTTCTCTAATAACATTATTTCAGGAAAGATTATTATGCTCTCTGGAGTTGGATTTATTGTAACAAACTTTTTTGTGACTTATGAACCCACATAAGATGCTCATAATTGGAATAATGCAGGAAATACGACTTACCTAGTACTTTCCAAAATTACATTCGCAATGGGATGGATGATGCTTGCATTCTATATATTCCTAGGTCATTCTAAATTAGGAAGAAATGCATTAGGTAATCCATTATTTAACGCTTTGGGAAAGTTGGTTTACTTGGCATATTTGACTGCTCCTATAATTATGATGATAGTATATTCTAATGATCAAAGGGGAACATTTATGACTTTTGTCGGTAATGCCTACCTTGGAATCGGCCATATATTTGTAACTTTTATCGCTGGAGTTCTGATCTACATCTTAGTTGAATATTAACTCAAAAAACTTTGCGAGATATACATCGTTATTCCCTATCTTTCTCATGATCACATTATTCGTAAAGTATTTGAAGAAAACAAGGAAGATAAACAATCTGATAAGAAATAACAAGAAGAGGATGAGCTCTTGAAAAAGAGAATCGCTGCTAAATTATCATGAATAAAATGATATTAGCTTATCCAATGATGAAACTTTTACTTATATTAAGCTAATTGATTAGTTGACTAATTATCGTGAAAAAATTCTAATGTCATGGGGTTTTGGGGTTTTGGGGAGATCGGAAGAGCG